CAGCAGTACGCACCCACTGGGGTTCGAATTTATGCACTGGCCAATGAATGGGGTCCCAGTGGCTGAATGGTGTACGAGCTTGCCTTGTAACCGGAAGGTCCTGGATTCGAACCCGAGTGGGTGCGTACTGCCGATGATTCCCAAACTAGGATAAAACAGCAGCTGTCCAGTACTCCCTGGTTTTCAATGGTTCTCTAACTTATATCAATCCGTGATCAACTCATAAAAACAAAATCTAACTTGAAAAACCTTTAGATTCAGTGTACAAAAAATAAAAACAAATAGCATTCCACAAATTCACGAAACAGCTGCAAAGTCTGTGTAATATAATTACCAGTCGTGCATCTTCTTCGAGCTAAACTGGATACTGATGCCTAACAGAATTAAAAATAGTACTTAAAAACAGAACTTTTGTTTACCTCACATTGCGAAATACCACCACTCAAGTAGTATCATTGTGACGGTATTTTGTCATGTCTCTTTTCTGTAAGTTGACTGCTGAAAATTAGAAAAGCATTCCACTATCATTCTTTTGTCGTTGCTTCATGACGTGAACATTTACCAACTTTTATCACTAGTTAAATCACCAAAAGAAATTCGATACAATAAAGATAACTTTATAATTGCCTGTTTGCATGTATCCATTTTTACGTAATATGTTTAGAATATGCAGGTGGTAAGATAATAATAACGCGACGTCTCCCCCGTACACGGATATAAGCATGGTAACAACAAATACAAGTTATAAAAAATTATTATCTTAAGCATAAAAGTAATTGTTGTACACCACATAAATATAATATTAACCCTTATGTGTTCATTCTAGTCAAAGTCACATTGATGATGACATGCATATTTGAGTGCAGATAATGTTAAAGGATTGTTGATAAGATTGTCTGTCGGTTTTACGATTACAGCACACTTAAAGTGCATTTTACATACCGATTAATAATGATATTATTATTATGTACAAAATTATTAAATGACCTCGATTTTTAATACTGACAAATTCGTTGTGCATAAACATTCACTAAGGCACTTGTATACATGTATGAAGGCGTCAAGATACACTGACACACTCATCGACCTACAGACACTCACTTAAGTTATATTCATATACATATTTGACCTTTTTATCATGACTGTTTATAAATGCTCAAAAGAACTCCAATTATTTTCTTTCTTTTTTTGTTAAGAAAATATCTTGAGTTTAGAAAAAAAACATAAGTTCCACCAACATGTACGTGCCTTGGTACTGATGTGTCACAACATTCACTCAGAAAGAGAGAGAGAGAGAAGTGAACTTTTATCTGTTCCAAAACGTAAATTTTAAGTGAAAATAAACCATTGTTGCTTTCATAAAGGTATTAAAAATTTTTGGGTTAATATTATTAGAATTTTCACATGCTTCATCAAAAATTCTGCAATCTAATGTCACCAAGGCACAATGTGCATGTTTGTGTTTTACCCTCTAAGTTCTATTTGGTGTGCTGGTTACTTATGCCACTTTGCAGCTTACAACTCAATAGTTTAGTAGAGCTTTGGATGCATGACTCACAAATTATCAGCAGATATATCAAGTCAGTAAGTCCTGACTCCATGATATTGTACGATGCACGAGACTAAACTGATTCTCTAAATAATAAATCAACCATGGATATACGGCTAGAATCTAGTGATATATATATATATATATATATATATATATATATATGAACTTTAAAATCATACACAAGTAATCAATACTGGGTAAACATCATTTTTGATGGAGTGCATTATAAAGTCTGTGACAAATAATTATTGCATTGATATAACCTGGTGTACATTCCAATAAAAAAAGCCTATTTTCACTTCATTGTCCTTGTTCTCCCAGAAACATGGAATAACATGAGACTGAAGGTACTTGTTTCCGCATATCAAATTATATTGCGAACATGTTTATGAAAATCAGTTTAAATATAGCCCATGACAGAAGAATTTAGACAGCTTCTCATATTCACTGTTAGACTGATAAAATTCTAGCTGAAAGTTATTATTATTATTAGACTTAACTGTTAAAATTTTGCTGTTTGTTATGTAGCAGCTGACTTAGTCGATGATTATGTAAATAAGATCGAGTCAGGTAGTGAAACACAAATGTGGTAAAACCGAAATGGTATGCTAATGTCAGTTGCTTTCCCTACCATAAAGATGTAAGATAGGCATAACAGTTATATATTACAAATGTACGAATGTTTTTGTTATTATTGAATAAATTCTTAAAAACACTATAAAATTATATTTGTAAAGACACTGTTTGCATAACTAAATCTTGCATCATCTAGAGTGGATAACGGTGTAAATGTTTTACAGTTAAATGTCATTAAAGCTTCTATGAAGTGCGAAAAAATCCTACTGGCTTTTTATGCATAAGAATTACATGAGTTCATTTGGAAGGAGAACCACTTGATCAGAATGAAAAAAAAAGAAATTGATGAAATTAAGCCTTTAGGGCTTTTTCTTTCTCACTGACATACACATTTCGATCAAGTGTTTATTGTTGAATTTGTAGGTGTTTCTTTAATGAGTAGTAGTTGTGTTTCACTGTGTATATGCATGCATAGAATGTGTGAGAAGTGAACGGATAAATTTAGAAAAATGAATACATAAATGAATTAATAAGTGAATTAGTTTTGTAGCAAACACCAAGTTAACAGAAAAAGAAACTCATTAACTTTTCTCCTCCCGCTTTTCACCTTCCATCTGTTGGTTAACTAACTGTTTTATGCAGATTTTCACCCCTCTCTCTGTAAATAACACACCACACAATCATCATTAATTTGTCCCCTCTCAGTCTATATTCACGAGTCTCAAGTGTTGTACACCACATATTGAGAAATATTAGGCAGACAGACAGACAGACAGACAGAGAGAAGAAGAAACAAAGGTGAAAGAGCAATTTAATATTGAGAAGGATTAGGAAAAAATCTGGCAGACGCCAAGAGAAATCAAGCTGTCGTTCAGTACGTGTCACTTATAAACTGAAGAGCAATATAAACATATTGAATTTGTCCTTCTTTTGCTTCTTGTAAGCATGCTTTATCAAGTTGTACACTGCATATTTATTAAAAGGGTGGATTAAAGCAGGGTGTAAGGTGTGAAAAGATGAAATTATACATATATGCGAAACCGTAATCTCGATTCAATTTAACCGTCTTCCTGCTGTAAAAAAATTTCTTCACTGGTTTATTATTTCACTTCGAAATCATTTAAATCTTTTCCATATGTTGGTCTAATTAAGAGAAGGAACATGAAGAGGAAACTCTTATAACTTTTGATCTTGTCAGTTTAACTTATCGATGCACACCTATGTGGTCTTTGCTCACTTTTCTCCCTATCCGATCCAACATACATCATATTTGCATTGCTCATGTATCGATCTGAGATGTTCACGTGAACCGATTTATAACATGCTCACTTCTCAGGTCAAGAAGTCTATTGAATATTACTCAGTAGGAAAAATAACTAAAACAGGTGTACAAGGGAGGGGGGATAGGAAGAGAGAAATAACCACCAGTGATGTGTAGATGGAGGAAAACTTCTGACAAAAAAGAGTCGATTTAATCAATCAATGAATTATGAACATGTGCTCACATAAACTTATCTGTAGACGTACGTTATGTATAGTTGTGCACATTTGATCGAACGTGTCAATCAGGTTGTGTTTTTTTTTATAAGAACATTTTTTACACCCTGTGTGCTTTTGTTTTTTCTGTTCGTTAGAAATGTTATCAGATTTTATGATCAGTATTCATAACGAACATTACTGTAAAGTCATTGTGACTAGCGATCACCTAAAGAGTCAGATCTTAAGAATATTAATATGAACAGATTGTCTACCTATTTAATTAAACTTCATGTTGTTTTATTTCAAAAAATCATTTGGAATTACTTTAAGAAGTCTGAGTTCTACTCTGTTATATACTTTATTTTTTTAAAGATAAAAATTAATAAATCTATTGTTATGAGTGATTCATGGTACAAAGTAAACTGGCGAAAAATCTTTGCGGATAAAAATACCCACGTGGAAAGCAGCTAAACGATATTGTTTGATCTGCATCCTCAACTTGAATTATATCAAACAGATTAACATCAGGTGTTTAGTCATTAATTTGGTATGTCAGAAGTACTTCTGAGTTAGGTAGTAGCATGCAATTTGTTAAATAAACTTTCGTGGTGAAACAAAGTTTAGTGTTTCTAATTATCGTTCTAAAGTAGTAAGTTGGGAAATTCGAAATCAGCGTAAGAGGCAGTAAACCTAAACACTTGATGTACCGACTGTAAATAACGGTGTCGTACAAACTTTACTGTTTGCCTAAAAGTAGTGTGGACATTTTCAATAACTTTTGGTGATTCATCCCACTTTTGCTGTTTATATACTTTCAAATGCTCCATTTCATCAATATGTGTTAATTATTACACGGGAGGGTTTAGTGTAACACGAATGTTGTAATCCAATATGCGAATTTGACTGTCTTGTTTACTACCCAACCATTAATTGCGTTTAACATGAAATGGAAAGTAACTAATTTAAAGAGTAATTTTATTCTGAACAGATATCAGTCGCAGGAAGTATGGAACAACCATTTCGTCCTGGCTTGGCAGTGTCCTTCTTCTAAAAAATTTAAGGAGCATGGATGCACTATTCATAGACAGTGAATGGAGTTATTCTTTCTCGAATAATTATCAGTCATATAGAGAAGAGCTTTTGAAGGAGATTCGCATCTTTGCTTTTACTGTTCTAAATAACTTTCATGTGGTATGCAAACGAAATAAACAGCCTTCGTTAAGTTGGAAATTTGTCTATAAAATAACATTTAACTCAACTATTGGCTGAACTGTAATGTTCAATTTTTCAATAATACGGAGATTATTTATATTATCTGAACTTTTATCACCATTGTCATAATTATTATTGTTTTCGAAAACATAATTTTGTTTATATTACTTTCTGCCTTTAGGTGGTTGCATAGACTTATCGTATAATAGTGCAAATAAAACGTCAACTGGTCAAAATAAACTTTCATCAATGAATCTGTCAAGTTCAGCTTTGGCCAACGATCTAGTGGTATGTTCCAGTATCACTAGTCACAACAAAACCAACAATCTTGATTACCACATGAATGAATCAAGTGAACCAGTTGAATCATTGATTCACAAAGCAATCAGTGAACTACATCAGCATCCTAGTATTTCTTCATTCCTAGCATCCTCATTTCCAACAACTCCAGCAACTGTGTCAGTATCTTCTTCCTCTCTGTCCCCCTCTGCTTATGCTGTCTCAGCACTACCAACAACATCTTTGACAGAAACATGTGATTACAACACTATCAACAATTTCAACTTGTCTCTTACGTTACCTATAAGCACGGACATTCAAGCAAATGATTATCACTGTACGAACGATTTCTTTGCTTCACTACTAAAGTTAAAGATCCCACCTCCAGATAAACTGAGTGAAATCTTTGTCAATACAGGTCATTCTATATATAACAATATCGATACTTCCAATAACATTACTAACAGTAGTAATCTAAATAATATAAATGAAACACAGAGCCCTCAGGTGATAAATGACAATCAGTATAAGGCTGCTCGTACCACCACTAGCGGCAGCAACAGCAGTAATAGTAGCGTTGTTACTGGTCATTCCAATACCTCAGATAAACACAATCACCACGCAGCCAATGGGTCCACTAGAACTAAGAATCGCAAGTCGGGTTTTCAAGCTGGAGTAACAGTTGGTTATACATATGATGCCTTTTTTATTTCTGATGGTCGATCTAGGAAACGTGTTAAAAACTCCTATGTAAAGCAAACAAAATCACAGCATAGACGGTCATATCCTACAGATGATTCATCTCACTTAATTAGTCCACAGTCAAATCCCAGCACTTCCGGATCATGTTCCTTTGATGGTACTTGTATTTCAAGTTATGCAAATGAAGAACAGTCATGTAACTCATTAAATACCCAGTTAAAATCCCATGTATCAATTACATCATCATCTTTATTGGTGTCATCGCCGAGTGAATCACAATCTCAACGTTATAGTTGTCCTGACTGTGGGAAAAATTATGCTACATCATCAAACCTTAGTCGACACAAACAAACACATCGTAGTTTAGATAGTCAATCAGCTAAAAAATGTCCTCAGTGCGGTAAAGCTTATGTGTCAATGCCAGCATTATCAATGCATTTATTAACACATGACTTGAAGCATCAGTGTGATATATGCGGTAAAGCATTTAGTCGACCGTGGTTACTACAAGGTCACAGGCGTGCACACACGGGCGAGAAACCATATGGCTGTGCTCATTGTGGTCGGGCATTTGCTGATCGATCCAATCTACGAGCTCATATGCAAACACATTCAGGTATGAAACAATTTGAATGTAAACAGTGTCATAAAAACTTCGCTCTCAAGTCCTATTTAAACAAACATTTAGAATCTGGATGTATTAACAAGTCCAATTGGTCAATGAATGGTTCACCGACAGCAAACAATGAAAATAAATCTCAGTTACTGCCAACAGATGAAATATCTAAGATTGAATTTTATCAACAGTCTGACTTACCATGGAGTGTAACCAAATTAATCAATTAGAAGAATCACAGAGACCTGAATATTTCTTATCCTAACACTGATTGTTTGTTGTTTCGATTGATTAGTTTTTATTATTCATCAAAGACAGAATATTGTCAGGGGATATAGACACAGTTCAGTCACCTTATTCTGGCTGATTTAATTTCTTCATTATTATTATTTTTTGATTTTTTTTAATCAGCCAACGAGTACATTTAACTTCTCCTACAATCCACTAATCACTACTAGATTATCGATGTAGACATTGCTTTACCTTTTTTTAGTAGTTTATGTGCACGTTGTATATTAAAGATAAGTATGAAATTCTGTGTGTAATGGAGAGTTATTCAATTTTCTTTCTTAATTTTCATCTTAATGAAGTCTAACAGCCTCTTCTTCTAAATAACAGTGTGTATATTTATCATAACGAAGTCAGTGAAGTTGATGATAGTTTTCAAAGGAAGAATTTCGATAATTTTCCATTTCTTTTTGTAAAATAGTAATTGACTTCCTATTATGCTGTCATATTTGATTTAATCGAGCTTTGGCAATTAATTATATATTTCTGCTTATTTACCAAGAAGCTTGTCTTCCTTATTCGAAATGGTACGAAGACTTAGCTTGAAGGATGAAGATATCAAGATGTCTGATAAAATAAGTATACTCTTTCAACTCTGAAATAATATGCAGCGGTGAATCGATAACCTTCATCAGAATATTCGAAAGACAACATTGAATTAGGATAATCACGATGATTGATGCTGACTTTTGAAATGCTGTAGTACAACTGCAAAAAAGTTACCAAATTGTCCATAAAAATGCACTTTTTAATAATATTATTAGTTTTAAGGTTTAACGAAAGATTAAGAGCAATCTAATCGATTGAGCATATTACAAAAAATTTACAAGCACACTTTATTCGTATAAACATAAAATCCATTCCCCTAGAAATTTTACGGCCACTTCATGTCATTAATGTAACATTATTCTGTCGTTAACTAAAATAAGTTTCAATATTCTGGAAATAAAAAAAAAATTAAACTGACAGTTCATGGTTTCTTCCTAGAACAGCCCTATCTGCAGAACTACTGAAATATAAGAAGCATTGGAAACATTTTTGCAATTTCGTGCAACCGAACAATATGCACCAATAGCCTGGTGAAAGACTGAGCTCAGTTCATGATTCCAATCTCATCCCACTCATCCATGAGTGTCAGTCGTTAAATCTGACTTGTTTGATTATTTCAAAGAAATCTTATTCCTTTACGTTCTCAGTGGAACATAGGGTTTCAAATTAGAGCTTGGAAGTTTCAGTTACAGTGGTGTTTATTTTTACGGGATGAGGTTGCTTGCCTCATGACCAACCTTCCCTCCATAACAGCCTTGTTACTGGCCTAACGAGGTAAAGGAGTGCGTCGGCCGTGGATCAAACCCCTAACCACATGAGTGGTTGGCGAGAACTCTACCGCTGTGACACCGACGCACTGTGTCACCATAGATAACCGCTTTTCACTACAACTTCACGAAATCTATCTGGGAACTAATCGAGACTTCGTTGTATGTACAAATATCTCCCATCCAACTCAGTGTCATCTGACGGTGTTTAATGTCACTTTACTATATGACATTGACTTATAAACAAAAAGATTTGCTAATCGCAAAGCATATTAGCAGTTATACGAAAATTCATCCATTCGATAGCAAACCACCTCTTTGCGTTAAAGTTGTCAAAGTCTAACTGGTGGATAAATGAATGAAATTGAATTCTCTACGCATTGTCCTGCAAATTCATGAGGTCAAGGGAAACAAAATCCACTGTAACCAATTTGTGCTGCAGACTTACTTGGTGTTTTACCAATACTGGAGGCCATATCTCGTCTAGACGATCAGAACATTTAGTTTGTTCAGCTAGTTTAACGTAGTGCTTATGCATATAGTCGTTTTCTAAGCAATTTAATGTTTCTATTGCAGAAAATGATAATTATAATAATCTGTGCTTCGTGATAGTTTCAGTTGAGCATTCCATCGAAGCACGGAAAGCTAGTTGAGGATAAGCAGCTAATTGTACTTATACTGCTGTGGATTTATAATAAAATGAGGCTCTCGAAAGACTACATTAATCAGAGGAAACTTTTCAAGTAGTTTCGTTATCATTTCTACAGAAATTCTATAAATAACCTCCTATATACTTTCATAGTTTTATAGTATGCTATAAACAGCAAATATTTCATAACATATTGTCAGTAGAAGTCAGAAATGCTGAAATATAGAACTCCTGCATCCTATTAATGACTTATCAGAAGTGTGTACTTACATGTGAGTTGGTTTGCTGGAGAAAATCCAAATTGTAGATTCATCCCTTTAAACTCCGGAGTATTATTCAGCAGGCTGTCGATTTTTAGGAACATGCCGTTTAACAGGTATTAACCATGAGTTTAAATAACCCCCGTTATTATCTTACCGGAATTAAACACTTAGTTTCCGTCTCGATACAAAATTTTATGTATAGTCTCCTGAATGAACCTCTAGCTGTTTGTAATGTTTATTTCAAAATGAAAGCAAGTGGTTATTGTCAGCATATTTTCATATGAATGGTATTACTGATTATGGCGATATTGTGAAAGGTTAAGTGGGGATTTATGATTACTGGAATATATTGGGCTTTCGAAACTCAAAACCGAATCCACCTGAATATGGCTTTGTGCAGATTCTTGCATCGATCATTCATATATATATATATATATAAGTGAAAACTATGGAATAAGCTTCAGTTATAAGCAACGAGTTAACTCGATTACTTTTCACATATAAAATCCACCCACATAGACATCGGGATTTCTATATCCACCTTGAAGGAACTTATTTTAAGATGTACAATGAATGTTCATTTCTTATTCAATAAGGAATATTACAGGCAAATTGATGGTGTAGCTATGGGTTCCCCATTAGGTCCAATCCTAGCTGATTTTTTCCTCGATTACTTTTGTAACAGACTTGTTTTACAATGTCATTCAATTGCTTTGTCGGCATACTTGTAGTCGTTTTGCATTCCGTAAAATATTACAGCAGTAAAATATCCCCTGATAACGATTACTAGTACAAAAGTGTTTAGGCTCCATCAGATAGAACATAATCGTTCTCTGTTATATTTTGAAAGATTTACTACATTATTCTGACAGTGAGTATTTTGTAAAACTACAGGGTGTTTTCTGTTGTCAGGTCTCATAATGAGTCGAATATGAAGAGAAAAAAATCCACAGATAGTTATAATTTGCAGTCGACATTCGGTACCTTTAGAGTAAAACTGATACAGAATAACCTACTCATTAAGTGAATGTTTACAGTTAAAAAATAAACTAATAGCTCTCATAAAGTATACATAATCCTTTCAAGCAAGTATCTAATGTCTCCCATATGCTATAATACCTATGATATCTTTGTTAAAGTACTAAGGTACAATAATCTACACTCAATGTATAGAGCTAATTTTATCTGAAACACAGATGTAGTTGGCACTTAAATTGGATTAAATACAAAAACATTCATTTAGATTGTTTAGTGTTCAATTTAATAGTTTTCTGTAAAAATAATGGCCAGTAGGGTGCAGCAGGTCAGGTGTGAGGACAAATACTCGCCGAAGACATTGGCTAGTGGTCGCGCTGTGTCGTGAATTGGCAGAAGTTAGAATTCATGGGCCATTGGATCGGGTCCCAGTGGCTTAATGGCCTACGAGCTTGCCTTGTAACCAGGAGGCCCTGGGTTCGAACCCTGGTGGTGGGCGCATGATGCTGAAGAGTCCCAAACTAGGACGAAAAAGCTGTCCAGTACCCCCAGGTTTTCCAGTGGTTCTCTAACCAATGTCAGCTCATGATGAAACCCTGTTACCGATATTTATAGTCCCTGATTCATGTACTGAATACAGATTCTTAGCAGAATTCAGCTACACTCATCATATATATATATATATATATATCCATAAATCTTTCATCTTAGCATTTGCTAGAGAAAATAGTGATGACTTAAGTATTAAAGTGAGCTGACTAAAATAGACCAATTAAATTATACTACCAATCATTTTTATAATTAATGAAAAGAGATTAATTGATAAATTGCGCGAACTTGTAATAGAAATGAGGAGCATTTATGCTATTAGGATAGCGGATACCACTGACATTGAAAAGTTTTCTTATATTCATATTAATAGGATGTTTTTTTAAGGAAAGTAACAGATCTAATTTATTTATTTATTTATTTATTTTCATGTACGATATAAGGTGGTAATCTTTTAATCATGACGGAGATTTATTTCACGCTTGAATTGATTCACTCATAATCTCAACTTTAATGTATTCCACCTGATTGACATATTCATGATGTGAATAAGTAATTCTAATGAGATTGAAGATTTTCATTTCATTTCTTCATTTGGATGTATTATTCATGAAAAACTGACTTTAACAGTTATAAATCGTTGTGTATGCCTTTCCTTACTCCCCTCTTTCGCTTGCTTGCACATGAACACAAACACAGACACAACTCGTACATGAATTCACGTACACGCAATCCTTAGAGCATGGCCCACTTCCACATATCTAAAATCTGTTATATCAAAGGAAAGTTAAACTTCTAACTAATTTATTATTTTCCCTCTTATCTGAAAACTCACCAACCACCACTCTTAATCACTTTAGCTCATCAGTAGAATTACACAATCTTTTTAAAATAAAGCAATAATGATTACATGTGTCTTCTAAAGATGAATGAACAAAGCAGATAAAAATAAATAGATATTTACTTTAAAAAATTCCCTTTTTACAAAAATACAGTTCTGACACGTCGACGATTGTGACGGATAGTGTTAATGAGGGAGAAATCATGAAAGTAAACTATTTATTTCATTGTTTCAACCAGTAATTTTAGAAAGTAAAACAACACTGCATTCCCTCTTCTACTAATACGTTCCTCATTTCTTTATCATGTATCAAAAGAAAACTCACAAATGTCATACATGTGATTAAATATCGTAGTATGCCAACACCATTAGCAAATGAATACAGTTAGTGTTTAGAAGGAAGCGGCACGAGATTGTTTACAGTGCGCTTATTTCTACAGGTGATTAACCACAGCTCAAATATATAAGTGTAGACGTTTGTGACAACATTATTAGATGAGAAAAACCCAAGTATTTGAGGTAGTATTAAGGTGCAGAAATACCTCGTAGATGATCCCCCTTACGAATAAAACTTGCTTTCCACCTCGAGGCATCTATCAAGGAGCTAAGTCTCTGGATAAATGACTAAATATGAAACCAGTACATGCAGAAAACCACGAACATATTATATATTATGCTACTGCATGTTGGTAGAAGAAATTTCCACATTCATTCGATCAAATTTTTAGCTAACTTTCGGACAGTTTGATAGTGAAATAACGTTTATTATATTGAATCAAGCATAATGACTAGTTTAGCACTAACATTCGTTAGTATTTTTGGAAAGTGGATTTCATTTAGTTTTCGTTTTAGTTTGAGTCATTACTTAAATGTTGAACAATTTATTAGTTGTTCAGCTGTTCTAAT